GTCCAAGTGTCCAATTGTACTTTTCTATCATCCCATCAGATTGTGGGTGAAGTGGCCTTTGGTCTTTCGTATACCAAACAACTTGCAGAATTCATGGAACACAGCTGATTCAAAGTTAAAGTCTTGACTTGAATGCAGTTTGTATGGCATACCAACTCTGAAGAAGAAATCACTAATAGCCGAAGCTACAGTTGTAGCTTCCTGATTTGGTATTGCATATGCCTCAGGCCACTTGGTGAAATAATCCATCATCACACAAATGTACCTGTTTCCAGCACGAGTTTGAGACAAAGGTCCGGCAATGTCAATGGCTACTCTTTCCATTGGTGCGCCAACTTGATATAACTTTGGAGCACGTCACTTATGCTTGGGTCCCCTTTTAGCACAATATGTACTGCAGGTTCTGCACCATTCTTCCACATCTTGCCTCATACCTATCCAGTAAAATCTGTGTCGTAGGTGACTCAATGTCTTCTTAGCTCTGAGATGTCCTCCTGTTAAACTATCATGGGATTGACGCAGCATAACTTCCCGTAACTTTCTCGATATAACTGTTTGCCAGGCCGTTACTTTCCCATCTCCGGACAAGAATACCATCTTCTAGCTTCAACTGGTCCCATAGTGCCCAATAGTTCTTTGTCACAGGGCTTAAGATAGACACCTTCTCCCAAGCAGGGTGCAAAACAGTTGCTTGTAGAAAATCAATTATTGGCCTCAAATCTTGGTCTTTCTCCTGATCTGCTTTAACATCTATACCTGGTTCCACTTCACCAACATCAACTCCTTCAGTCACTTTGACTTCAGCTTGATGACACCTGGTTAGTTCAACCTCTCTTTTAATACTTACCGAAATTTGGCCTTTGTTGTTCCCAAACGCCATTTTATCAAAATTAATTACACACTTCCTTGGTAGTAAGTAGACTAACTCTAATATGCATATGCATATTCAATGTCAGCCAAGTATACTTTGTGTCTGTCCTTCATGCCTATGAGCTCAGTAGTTACCCACACTGGTCCCCACAACCTTGCATAATGCCGTGTCACACCACAGAGCTTCAGTATGGCTTCTGGTACTCCTTTGTGATCCAGCACCTTGATGCTCACAAGGGTTGTTGAGATGCAGAAGCTATGACAAAGTTGAACCTTTGGCCATCCAGCTTTCCTGTCACGTAGACACTATGTGTGCTTGGCATTTTACACCTAGCTGTTAGGACTTTCACGGTGGGATTGATGGGTGTCCCTCAACACCAACCACTACTGGTTTCCCAGAGGCTGACTTATAGGTAGTATTCTTCTTACACTGGATCATCATATGTCCTTGCTCTCCACAGTTCCATAAAGCCTTTCCTGCTGTGGCATCTTCCCTGTGTTGAAGTTGCCAGCACTGAACTCTCTTGTGCTCAGGTTTGTTAGAGTGTCAGCAAAGTCCCTCAAACTTCTCTGAGAGTTACCCTTTTCTGGCCTTGAATCCTGATGATTGTACCAATCTTGGTACCTCTGTGCTGGATTTAACGTAGGATTCGAATTCAC